CCCCAAAACCCCAAAACCCCAAAACCCCAAAACCCCAAAACCCCATTGAAAATTAATCTGAAGGATAATCCAGAAGCAACGGCAATAATAATATTTTCAATCAAAAGATGGTGATCTAAATTTTCTAAGACTTCAAAGCACATATATTGAATGGCTCATCTTTGAGAAAACTCAGATCGAATATGCCTCCTCGTATTGTCCTCCCACGGTTTTTCAAAGTGCATCAGGTGTTTAAAAGATCAGAAATTTAATTTTTAAAATTAAGACACCAATTCTTCTAGTTTCTTAAGACAGAGCAAACGGATGGCCTATCTTATTATGCAGAGATTGGCGGTTAGGATCGACTGAGAGGAAACACAGAAGACGAATGTTAATAAGAAAACCAAAAATTCTGAATCCGAGTTTATGGAGGAATATCTGCTATTCGAGTTCAGCTCAAATTTCAAAAGGAGAAGTCTAGAAGAAGAAGGTCTTGTTAGTTTTCTTCCAGCTCGATGCATTCTGGCAATACTCTGAAGATCCTACAAATCTGAAGGCAGGAAAATCAACTATTATTTCCCAAGATGAAGACTTAAATACAGACGAAGTGATGTCTGACCAACACTAAAATCATATACTACTTGGAGATCGCTCTATCGAGGAGATTTATGAGCAACGAAATATCAAGGCTGAATAATCTGTGGGCTAAGGACCAAGATAAGGGAGTTTAAAGATATTAAAAAGCAGAGAAATATTGAGGGCTGGATTAGAGGCTATTGATGAAAGAACAATACAAATGTAGATGAGTCTTAATTCAGTAAGCTAGTCAAATCCAACTACTCTTGGCTCCCAAAAAGTATCTCCAATTTAATCATAAATTCATGGTGAAGAGGAAGAGCCTCAGTAACCTTCGCACTCCTTTCTAACAGTCATTGGATAGCTATGATCATTGGTGGCCCCAATAACTCAAGGAAGTTCTCTTCTTGCTCAATAAATATGTTAAGCCTTTTAAGATGAACTGAATAAGTACCCTGAAGATGACGTCATCAATGCATCATTACATTTGTCTACATTGAGCAAGACAACAGTAAGATATCTCAAAATCTAGATGGTAGGTCTTCCTTCTTATTGACTCAACATAGCATAGTTGAAATAATATTAGACATCATTAAGAGGAAAGCTTCCGTTTCTAAAGAAGATAAAGTCATTGATTCCAGCAATCATAGAGGAAAGAAGACCCTTTCAGAAATTCTTCATCAGATTAAGATATCAAGATGCCCTTAGGTGTGGATGCAATCTGTAAGAGAAGCTACAAGGGTACTAATAGTTCCAAAAGAGAAGGCTACAGCAAGCAAGGAGATTACATCAGGAGAGGAGTAGAGCAGTTCAACCTCCAAAATATATTAGAAAATAACACAAGGATATCCTTAAGAAATGGGAAGACGAGGAAGAAACCCTCTTTAGAATAATTTAAAATAATTCATTTTCGAGTAACTCTAGTGGGGTTTTGGGGTTTTGGGGTTTTGGGGTTTTGGGGTTTTGGGG